CGCTACCGGGGCACCATTTCATCCCAACTCAGCTTTCATGGTATACGTACCATAGCTTGTCAGCACTCACACGTATAACGTGTTGAGCCGGACAGCCGTTATCGGCAATGACCACAAGGCTGATCATTTACTAGCATTCTCTCTCATCCCCCTTGAAATAAAGAAAAAGTGGGCCAGACGAGGTTGCTGAACTTGCTTACACCGAGGATCCACTAACCCACGCGAATGAGCTGCTATGCTGCGTATCACGATAGGGTGAGCAGGAGGTAACTCGTCCGTAAGTTCACATTAGCCGCCATAAGCTCACTTTGTAAAGCCCTAGCGCCATTGTCGCGCACTTTCGAGCGCGACAACGGCACATCTGTGATACTCGTGGGCTACTCTATCCCACCCACAGAATAGATTCTTCGACACGACTTCATCTGGTTGCTGCTTAAGGATTAATTAGCTTTGATGACACTAGGTTATTTACCTTTTCGCCTAAGGTATTAAACTAATTAAAAAATCTTTGTTATTTCTGAGCCTCTATGAAGGCAGATTACTACAAATCTCTGCTCCACACATTCCAGTACTAACTTCATATTTTTGAAAAGGATGCGCTTGGCTACTAGTTGAGGCAAAAAAATGAGGTAACAAGATACATAACTTTTGATTAAAAGTGATTCTTGGCCAGTAATCATTCTTGAAGAACTGTTAGGCATGAGGGCATTTCTAAGAACAATGAGATGAACCTAAAGAGTATTCGACGAAGCTTTAAAGCCACTGAATAGATTATTCAAGTATATCGGATGAAGGTCTGGGCTTAAAAATCCATTTGTCACTAACTCGAACATTCAACATTGGACTGAAGCCTGCTCAATCCATCCAAGCTTTCATCCTACATATTCATTCAAAATTACGTAAATAACGTTGAGTGCATTATTTTTTCACAACAAACAATAAACGAAGACCATTTCACAAACCTTTGCGCTGGTGGTCCATCCATAATAATATTAATCCAGAGGATCTGCATCGCGTTCAACGGATTCTCAAAGTGAAACATGGTTGAAGCAGCGATTAGGGACAACGCGGCTACGCTCCTGCAATTTCCACACCAATAATCTAGCTTTCTTTAGTGTAGTAAGGACGCAAACCACTTACGTGCTGAGCTGGAACCGAACGAAATTAGTAATATTATGGTAAATGGCTTTGCCTTCCTCAATTGCTGCCGTCATGGTAGAAAAATCATCATCGCACAGGATCATATCGGCCGCTTCTGCAAAACACTTGTGTGTTCGAAAAATTACTCGAGTTCGCATCTTCCACATCTTCCGCTTTAGCAGTCGATGTCAGACTGGCGTCGCCGAAATCGCGCGATTCGGGCATACGTGAGAACGATCGCTAGCCGTCTGGACGCTCGCGTCGCGGTCAGTGAATCACTCAATTGTGCTGTACCTGTGCGGCACGCGAATCTGCGGACGCTGAGCAATCCGCGCTTTGGGTCAAGTCGCGAGCCTTACTAGACTTGCGCGCAGGTCAAGCCGTAGTCTTTTGCCGCACTGCTCAAAACAGGGGGGGGGGGCGGGCGAGCGTGGGGTTGCATCTGCGATTTGGGGAAGTGCGCAACTTTTGTAGACTTGCGTCCTTCTGAGAAAAGCGTGCGCGGGTGCGCTAAATAGATGTATTCGACCACAGTATTTTCCATGGAGTTTGGCAAGAAGTGGGGTTCCCCACTGAAAGTAGGTTAAAAGACAAAATTAAAATAGTGAATTATCGCTTCTTAAGGATCCAATTAGCCCCCCCCCTCCCTCTACCCCACCCAGCTTCGCCCGACGGCTGTTTTGAAGGAAAAAGAGGGCGGAGGGGAGGGAGGGGAGGGGGTGGAGGGCGCCGAGTATATCGACTAGTCTCCCTGTCATAATCTAATACCATAGAAACAGCCAGGAGTACTGGTTAGGGGAGGTGCTGTGCTCGGTAGTGAAGAAGAGTTCTACTGGGAGTCTCCCTAATGACGTTGATGTAAGCTTTGCATCGCCTGAGTCGCCCGTAAAGAGTAACGTAATTATGAAATCAAACGCACGGTTGATCCTGTGTGTGTATTTTCCACTAACCTTTGCATACGTCTGTGCCTCCCAGCGCCCATAGCAACTCCTATGTCGGCCTTCTTCAACGCGACTGCGTCATTTACTCCGTCACCAGGTCATCGCCACAACTTCTCCAATTCCTTGCAAAGCCTGAAAAGTCCAATTTGCAAGAAAAAACGCTACGTAAGGAGCAGAAAAGGTCTGCTTACCTTCACGATTTTTAGTTTGTGCCTCGGTGATGCTCGGTAGAATACTGATCCTTGCCGAATAACAAGCTCAAGTTCTTGTTCAGTCATGCTGTCGATCTGGGCTCCAGAAAGACAACTATCGTGTGGTGAGCGCAGATAATCGCCAAACATCGATGCGGAATAGTTTGACATAATAGGAATTCAAACAAATACCCCCTCCCCCCTCCCCAAAAAAACAACTGAAAAGAGAACTGAGAAAATTTTCCTGGTCCCTATATTGTCACTTTTTGTTGAAAAGATTTTTGAACTCGAAACTTTGCATGGTCAAGCAGAAAAAACTGAATCAAATAAGCACCTATGCTTTGCGCTGTCTCCTGTGCATCGCCAGTGATCAGCTTCACATCGACACCGCTGGCTCGTACCATGGAAATGGCATCGGCTGCACCTTGTCGTGGTGGATCGAGCATGCCTACCATTCCCACCAGCATTAGTGACTGCATGGTGTCACCACGGGCCATTGCCAACACTGGAATCGGATTAAAATTAAGAAAAGGCGAGATGAAGATATGGAGGCGAGAACTTATACTAAACACCTGACCTCTCAAACCAGTCGCGCCTAATCCACGTCCTCCATCTGATATCCTCTGCCGAACGTAATCGTCGAGAGGCTGCAAGAAACCAAATACAATTTCGCGGAAAAAATGATCCAGTTGAGGAGAAAACCGTTCTATTTGTTACTATCACATTAATAAAAGCCTTTGAAGGCGCATTTTACGATGAAAAGGCAGCCATTGAAAATTAAGTTAGAGATGGTCAGTGATGCACGAAAGAAGAAAAACCAAGAAAAACGGCCCAGAACCCGAGAAATGGGACCCTTCCTTGCCCGTTGATTTCCGCATTGATGCGACTCTCATCGGTGCTGCCCTCTTCAACGCTGACGCTCTCTCTGTAAACGGCTAGAGGGTCAGACATTGGGAGGAAGGTGTACCGCGCCGATAGCCGCATGGATGGCCATACTAGATCGCTGAGGCATATCCTCCTTGCGAATTGGTGCACACTCTTGAGAGGTCCGTCTGTCATTGCATTGGATAATCCCCTTCTTCCAACTTCGATTTTGTCGTGGAATCCTCCTTCAATTACACGCCTATGGCGACAACTCCGTTGCCTGGCTGGTAAGAAAAAATGATATACTAGCCTGTCCACAACGCTCTTTTAAACATGAAAAATATCTTCTGGCTTATTTCAGGCGATTTGACGTACCCAATTTCAACTATTGCTCAACTAGTGCTTAATGGTTTTAATCGAATTAGTTGCTCAGGCTTCTTACCCTAGAGTTCTTGATAATCCTGAGGCTGACAGGACCCGGCCGGGGAATGGGTCGCTTAGTGAATTCCACGTCTCTACTTCGGTCGAAATGATGCGACCGTCACGGACAAGAATAGAGGATGCCTCATTCTCGCGTCGCCTCGTGTCTGATCTCGAGCCGTTCAGCAGAGAGCGTTAGCGTTGAAGAAGGCAGCACCGATGAGCCGCATCAATGTTACTCGGGAGGGATTCCACTTCTTGGGTTCTAAGCCATTTTTCTCGATTTTTCTTCTTCGTGCTTTTTCCTCTAACTTAATTTCAGGCGGACTGCTTTTTCATCGTAAAATCCGCCTTTAAGCCGTCACTGAGTAATGGTCCTTCAAAGTTATTTCTTTTTTAACGACGCACTTCCCTTATTTTCCGCAAATGCTTACTTTTACACACATAAATACATCACGCGCTTGCTGACGATTTTTGATGCAAAGACGATGAAAACCTAAAGGGATTATTTCTTCGCTTAGCTAGGGAACGGTAGGATAAGTCTCCTCTTATTTGCTTGGAACCTTGGCTTCCTCAGATCTAACTTAATCCGTCAAATAATCCATAAAGAAATCTTAACGGTACCGAATATATTCTGTAGTTCGGAGACAGGAACAATTATGACTAAAAAATTCACCTTCCGCATCCCGTCAGCTGATAAATAGGAATCACAAAGTTGCATCACACGATCGAGCGCACCTTTCACGAAGAAAACTGTTTGGCCCTTAAAGACCATAGTAGAAAAAAAAGTTAAAAATATGAATGGGAACACTGTTCCCAAGAACTAAAAAACTTCAACCGACGTTATAATCGCATTGCACAGACATCCACTTCGATTCCTGAGGTAAAAGGAATTTCCCGAACGCGTTTGTAGTTCTGACGACATTTGTCCAAGCCAGTCTGGAAGAAATAGTATTGTCATGTCACGACACCCAATAAGTTTTGAATCATGGCGAATTCTTATTCGTATACCATAGACCTTATTCCATAGCAGCTTACTCATAACTACACTGGTGTGCAAAACTTAGGGATGACGACGTAGCTTTCCCGACGACGTGTTAACTGGGCTAACCCCACATACAAAGAGCTGTCACAGGGCACTAAAGAAAGCAGTTAACAGGAACCGTTAGACGGTCCACAAAGCTATCACAGAGCTATGATACTTCATCTGTCTCGTCCCTAAGTTTCGCACACTAGTGTATTTTGGCCTCCATACTTAACGCGTACTTCACGGGGTCTCAGCGATATCAAAGGCAGCAACCGTTATTCTCATACTTTAGCCCTGGGCCGTTCCATAGCATATCCCACTGTACCTAAGCGTTTGGATCTCCTTCTTCGCTATTTTCCAACCGCTTTCATAGTGCTTACCACACATTCGACAATGGTCATCAATCCAACAACCCAATTTTTCACCAGCCTTTAGGCTGTTCTGAAAATCCGGCAGAGAAATCTTCCCGTCAGCACTGCCATATTCGGACATACCCGCTCACCGGGAGGGGTTCATCATTGCTGATTGATGTCCTTATTCCATACCTAACCCAGGCTAAACTTGACCTGGCCTTGACAGGTTACTATTCAGGTAACACATAACAGGTTTTCGTAACCAGACACCGAGCAGACGTGCAAACAAACAAAGAAGCAGATTGACAGAGATAGCGCTCATATATCATAAGATATTCGTGAAGCTCAAGTAGGCCTCCCATATCACTTCTCCCTTTTTCTACCTAAAGGTGCGAGCTTAACCTAACAAATTTCAGTTATCGCTCGCAAACTAATACTACATGAACATTCAACGCCCAGCGTTAATCATTGCAATCATACATTCCAAATACTGTACTTGAAGCATAACAGCAGCCTTACTGCAAACTGCAATTTGCCCTTAATTACGAACGAAATATTAATAATGTCTCGACCGTGCATAAAGAAAAACCTGAGGTCCCCGCACCTTACGTATGCTGCTCTTACAATTTCAACTTCAAAAAGGTTGAATTAGTTGTTGTTGTTGAGCAATTACTTCAGGATGCGCCACATGTTCGACTTCCAATCAGCATCGTGAAAGCATTCAAAAAGGCATTCAGCATGTGCAAATAAGGGGCCACAAGTCAGTGTTGTCCTCTCAAACTAGTTCCTTAATGATGGGCCGAAGCAGTGCAGATGAATTTACCTGGGATGAATTTGGTCCCACAGATTGTGCAAGTATAAGGTGAGAAATCTGGCCACTACGCTACATTCAGAATAT